TGCCATGCGGTCCATATATTTGGTAGTGAGGCATGGCTAGCAATGGACAGGGTGTCTGGCTGCAGAACTCCCTTGGCAGGTCTGTAACTCACCACCACAGGAACTTTCCCTCTATAGGCAAAGATCTGAAATTTACCATCCGACCTGTGCACCACGTGGCTGTTGATCTGCACACTGTACCGTGCAAACAACCCAGGTGGAAAGGTAAAAGGAAAGCTATATTCAATCTGCAACTGCTCAGCCACAAAAGACTGCCCAGCTAGGTTGGTCCCATTAATCCAGGCTTCTGCATGGGGCACCTCGTTCTGCACATAGCATGGGAACTTGTACCAAGCTGTGGACCCATTCAAAGGCTTGCCCTTGGGTTTATTGAGGCAGTAACAGAGTCCCATCTTCTCCAGCAGCTCCAGCAACAGCTGCAAGTCCTGCTGGGCCTGGACATGAGGCTTAAGCAGCAACCGAATGACATGAGCTGGCATGAGCCCGTGCAACAGAAAGCCCTCCACATATTGATGGAGCTGGGTGGCCCGGAGCAGTTCCTGGCTCGGGGTGGGCAGCGCCAGGGGCGGGGAGCTTTCCCCCTCCGCCTTGCCCTCTCCACTGGTCCCTAGGAGCAGCTTATGCAGCAGCAAGGAGGGATCCCTCTGGAAGAAGACATTGAGGATGTCGATGAGGCGGGTGAGGTTGTGGAAGACGTGCTCCTTGAGGGCCGGACTGTCCTCAAAGTAGAGTAGCTTGCCGCTCTCATGCAGGTAGGAGAGGGCACTCTGCAGTCGGTCCTCGGTCAGACCCGCCTGCAGGCCCAGGCGCGCCGAGTCCCACCAGCTTAGCCACAGTCTCTGGGCCTGAGGTGGCTGGAAATGCAGTTCCTCCAGCACCTGCCAGGATCGAGGCAGTACTCTGTGTAAGTTGGGGAAGATTTCTCGGTGCTCAGCAACTGACAGCAACTTGTCCCGAAGGCGTTGTAAGTGGCGCGGGTCCCTGCAGCTAACAGGCAACACCGGGGAGAGGATCTGCAGCCGGTGGTTGAGCAGGTACTGAAAATGGGCCTTGCGCCGTCGAAGGTTCTTGTCGGAAACGCCGTAGTACGCTGCGTGGGGGCTGGCAGAGCGTAGCTCGAAGTCCCGGGCCAGTGCCTCATCCACCACCTGGGCCAAGCGGCTCAGCCCCTCCGCGTCGTGCTTCTCCTGCAGGGCGATCTGGCGGTGAATGTCCAGACACTTCTCCTCCAGCTCGCGCTCTCCGCACAGGTCCGCGTGGGTGCCCACGATGCACACTACCGCGTGGGGCACTCTCGCCCCGACCCGATGCAAGAAGGAGCCCACGGTGGTGGGAAAGCGGCGAGGCTCATAGGTGGCCAAGTTGACCACCAGCACGTATAGGGCGCCTGGGGACAGGAAGAAGGGCTGGATCACCTCGTAACTTTCATCCCCAGCTAAGTCATACACGACGAACCGCAGTCCCCGGGAGGCATCGGCCGTCCAGCTGGTCACCTCGATGCCCTTGCTCACAGGGGGAGGTGATGGTGGGTAGCACTTCTCCTTGTCCCCTCCTCCTGGACATCCCTCCACTCTCTCCTCAGTGAGGCAGTGGCGCAGCAAAGTCTTTCCTGCAGCCTTATGCCCCATCAGGAGCAGCTTGAGCCGGGGCTGCACTGCCGGCTGGGAATGAGCCAGTTCCTTCTGGTAGGCTGCGATGTAGGGGATCCCCTTCATGCAGACCTCGTAGGGTGGCTGGATCAGTGGGTTGTCCTTGATCTTCCACAAGCCCACCCGGGAGAGCTGGCCAAAGTTGTCGGGCAGCACCGCGATCTGGTTCCCCTGCAGCACGAGCTCCTCCAGGCCCGTCAGCTCCACGATGGAGTCCGGCAGGTAACGGATGCGGTTATTATCCAGCCACAGGGTGAGAAGCCGGCCCAGGCCCGAGATAAGGGATGGCACCGAGGTGAGCTGGTTGCGACTAAGATAGAGCTCCTCCAGACCAGCCAGGGGCAGCAGCGCGGCAGGGAACTCCTCCAAGAGGTTGGAAGAGAGGTTGAGCATTTTGAGCCGCTGCAGGCGGCTGAACTGGGCGGGCAGAGCCTGCAGTCCGTTGTTGTCTAGCATGAGGCTCTCCAAACTGGCCAGCTCGCAGAAGCCGGCGGGCAGCGTGCCAAGCTCAGCCCCACTCAGCCAGAGAATCTTGAGGGCACACAGGGCACTGATATCCTCAGGCAGGCCTCGCAGTCGGTTGCTGGACACGTCCAGCTCCTCCAGGGCCGCCAGCTGCAGCAGCTGTCGGGGGAAGGCAGTGAGCTGGTTGTGATCCACGTCCAGGGTGCGCAGGCGGGAGAGGCAGGAGAGGGAGTCGGGCAGGTGCGTCAGCCGGTTAAAGCTGACGTCCAGCTCCTCCAGGTGGGCGAGAGCGCCCAGCTGGGCGGGCAGAGCGGACAGCTGGTTGTGGCTGAGGTTGAGCTTCCGCAGCTCCCTCAGAGCACTCACCACCTCCGCGCCCAGGGCGGTCAGCCGGTTATGGCTCACGTCCAGCTCGGTGAGGTGGTGGCCGAGCTCGGCCACTGCCGGGGGCAGCCGGGCGAAGCGGTTCCTGCGCAGGACCAGGACGCGCAGGCTGCCCAGCGCCGACCCCAGCCCCTCAGGTACCTCCTCCAGGCCGTTGTTCCCCAGGTTCAGCGCCTCAATGTCTCCGAGGTTGGCCGGCAGCACGAGCTGGGGGGAGGCGGGGGACTCGAGCGCGTCGGCCCCGGCCCCGGGGCAGGCCCCGGCGGCGCTGAGCGTGAGCTGGCGCAGGTTGCTCCGCAGCTTCCTGGCACGCAGGGCGGCGTCCCGCCACAGCCTCGCCGTCTTCAGGTTGCCACTGTCCATCCCAGCCATGGCGGGGCCCCGGGCCGACAGCCTCACGCGGTAGCGGGAGCCCGCAGCTACATGCCGCGCCGCGCCCCGGGCCCTCCCGCTCTTGGCGGCCAGCGGCCGCGGGTCCTAGCGCAGCCAGTGGCCGAGCGCCCGCGGCTGGGGGGCGGCGGCGGCAGCGGCTACGCGAGCGGCTCTGGGGGGCGCCGAGCGCGTGCAGGGCAGCTCGCATTCTCCCTGCGGCCGGGCCATGGGCGCGCCGGGCAGCAGGGCCGCCGCCCGCGCGCCGCGGAGGATGCCTGCTCCTCCTCCCTCACCGCCTGCCGCGCGGCGCCTCGGGGTGCCCGGCTCCGGCCCCGCTACCCTCGCAACCGCGGCCCCGCGGCCGGCAGCGGCGTCGCCTCCTCGAGCTCCTGGGGGAGGGCGGCGCTCGGCCCGGCGGCGGGCATGCTGCGGGCGCAGGGCCGGGGCGCAGCCGCGGGGAGGGGGCGGCGGCGCCTCCTTGTCTCGGTTTCCCCGGGCTCGGGCGGGAGCGCGGGCGCCGCGTCCCCGGCGCTGGGAGGGCGCGATTGGGAAGCGGCAGCGCCGCCCGCCGGAGCGGCCCCCACGTGACCGGCGGAGGCGCCGCGTTTTCCCGGCACCGCCCCGGGGGCGGGAGCTGCGGAGGGCGCCGGGTGCGGGGTTGGGGGCGCAGGGCGGGGGGCGGGACTGCTCCCGGGACCGCGCTGAGGGGGGTGGTCGTCCCCGCAGTGGATGTGGGGCTTCGGGGTTCTCGTTGTGGGTTCGCCTGCGCCTGGCTCTTTGTTGGCCCCCAGTCTCTAAGGATTTCTTTTTCTTGTTCTCTAATGCGTCGGATTTGCCGGCTTCCCTTACTCATCCTTTACCTGCTCACCTGCCACTCGCCCTGCATCCATGCCGTAGTGGAACTGGCAGAACTCGGGGGCCCTGGGTATCGCCAAAGGAGCTGAAGACAAGAGTGTGGTTAAACAAAAGCAGAATAGGCAACCATTCATTCATTTGGTAACTATTTCCTGAGGCCCTATTTCGTGTCGAGCATGAGACAGGAGTAATGCAGGGCGGTCACAGGAGAAAAAACATTCCAGGCAGCAGTTTCACTTGACTAGAGTCTATGGGCTGATAAGACCCGGAAAACCAAGGTGTGCGCCAGGCGGGCTAAGACTGGCTGGACGCAACGTGGTCCTGGATTTGACTTAGGTTTCTCCTAAGACTTCATTATATGCTCTTTAACATCCTAAATCACACCAGTACCATGACAGTTCCGGGGACACCCATATTTGAAGTAAAAATGGGTGGCACCACAGTCCCGAAAAATCTCCACACTTTTCCAGGAATTTTCATGAGTATTTCACCCCTTGGTTAAAGAAACCCATAGAGGTAGCAGCCCCAAGCCCCGTTTGCGTGACCCTCTCTTGAGTACACCCACAATCCTTTTTCCTGAGTGTGTACTTTTCTCTTTGCAATAAATCTCCATGTTGTCACTATTTTCTGAGTTGTCTTTGAACTCGTTCTCTGGATAGTGTCAAGAGCCTGGACATTGGCTGGGGTCAAGGTCGCACTGGCGTTAGAGGATCTCCCTCAGCCCACCCGTATCAAACCTACTAAAACACAGGTTTTAACCCCCCTGGGGAAGGCTTTTGAGCAGGTGACCCGCCAGCCTAAAGGAGGGTTGTGAGTAAGTGAACAGTGAGAGCTGATCTGTGTTCACTCGGAAGGACTTCCCAAGAGTTCAAATGGCTCCCATAGACAGTCAGAAATTTACAAGAAATATTCTGTTTTATCTAGGCTGACCTTTTTTTTCCCCCCACAGAGGAGGAAATGGGCTCAAAGTGACTTCTCAATCAGCCAGCAAGGTAGAGGCAGGACTGCTAACTCCCCATGTGCAATGTATTCCCCTGTGATTATCACCTGTACTCACACTGTTCTTGAGCCAGACCCCAAATTCTCCATCCTGCAGCTCCTTCTAACACAAAATTGAACTCAGCCTGGGTAAGGAGACGAGTAGGCATCACATCACCATCCTACACCACCTTATATGATTATATCTCAATAACTGCTAACTGTTCCTCTTTAGAAGCCATCAGAAAATTATACTTTCTTCTGCAGAAGCTGGAATCAATTGAAAAAATGAAAATTGTGCTTGCTTCAGCCGCACATATACTAAAATTGGAATAATATAGACAGGATTAAGTATGGCCCCTGTGCAAAGATGACATGCAATTCATGGTGTTCATTTTTTAAATAATATTTTTATTTAAAAAATTATTTTAAAAAAGAAAAATGGCTGGACATGGTGGCTCATGCCTGTAATCTCAGCACTTTGGGAGGCTGAGGTGGTGGATCACTTGAGGTTGGGAGCTCGAGACCAGCCTGGTCAACATGTCAAAACCCTGTCTCTGCTAAAAATACAAAAATTAACCAGGCATGGTGGTGTGTACCTGTAGCTCCCCCAGCTACTCAGGAGGCTGAGGCACGAGAGTTGCTTGAAACCAGAAGGCGGAGGTTGCAGTGAGCCAAGATCACACCACTGCACTGCCTGGGTGACAGAGTGAAACTTTGTCTCTAAAGAAAATTATACTTTCCTTTCTTTCTTCCTTTCTTTTTTTTTTTTTTTGGAGATGCGGTCTTGCTTTGTTGCCCAAACTGGACTCAAACTCCTGGGCTCAAGCAGTCCTCTTGCCTCTGCCTCCTGAGTAGCTGGGATTATAGGCATGAGCCACCCTGACCAGCTTATACTTCCATTTTAAATGTCCTTGGAAAACTGTACTCTTCCTTTGTCAGGAGATCATCTATAATTTGCTTTATGTGATAAAAAGAACTGGATAGGACCCTGCGCTAGGGCCTCAGCCCACACTGAAACCTCAAAGCCGGGTGTGAATAAGTCTGCTGAGGGGGGCAATTTTTTGTGAGCCCGTCAGCTGCTGCAGTCAATATGGTAGGAACCCTTGTAAGAATTCTTGTCTATGAATTATTTGAAAGTCAGCATGTGGACGGGCACAGGGGCATATGCCTGTAATCCCAGCACTTCAGAGGCTGAAGCGAGCAGATCATTTGAGTTCAGGAGTTCGAGACCAGCCTGTGCAACAAGGCAAGACGTCATCTCTACAAAAATTACAAAAATGAGTAGGGCATGGTGGCTCACACCTGTAGTCCCAGCTACTCAGGAGGCTGAGGTGGGAAGGTCACTTGAGCCTGGGAAGTGGAGGCTGCAGTGAGCCAAGACTGTACCACTGCACTCCAGCCTGGGAAACAGAGTGAGACTCTGTCTCAAAATACAACACAACACAACACAACAAAAGAAAGTATGCTAAAAACTAGAAAGTCAAATGATAAAAGATAACTCAATGATAAAAGAAAACTCTATGAAAAGATATCGTGTTCCATATAGCTTTAAAAATTTTTTTCTTTGTGCTTTCCACTTTCAAAGAAACTGCTTCGTAAAGAACTATAGAAATGATTCATGGGCTGGGTGCAGTGGCTCACACCTGTAATCCCAGCAGTTTGGGAGGCCGAGGTGGGTGGATCATGAGGTCGGGAGTTCGAGACCAGCCTGGTCAACATGGTGAAACCTCGTCTCTACTAAAAATACAAAAATTAGCTGGGCGTGGTGGTGGGCGCCTATAGTCCCAGCTACACATGAGGCTGAGGCAGGAGAATCACTTGGACTTTGAAGGCAAAGTTGCAGTGAGCCATGATCATGCCACTGCACTCTAGCCCCACTGCACTCCAGCCTGGGCAACAGAGCAAGACTCCATCTCAGAAAGAAAAAAAAAAAAGAAAGAAATGATTCATGAAAGTATCATCTTTTTTGTTTTTTCACTGAGGCAGGGTCTGGTTATGTTACCCGGGCTGGTCTCAAACTCCTGTGCCCAAGTGATCCTCCCAGGTATCAACCCAGGCAAGGACTCCTGCCGTGGGCACCTAACCTGGACCTCCTCTCACCATGCTGTAGCCCTTGTGCTTAAGTTTCTGATGGGCCAAGGGGGTGTATCCCCTCCACCTTCTAGAACACACATGGTATGGAGGACCCTGAATTCCCAATGCAAATAGCGTCAAGCCTGGATGGGGACTATGGGGAGTCTCTCACAGTCATTCAAAAGAAGTTGTTGAGGTGGGCATTCCTGGGCCTGGGGGTTGTGCAGCAGCTTGACCTCAGCTGTGTGCCTACGAAATTTCTTCTCTGTGCTGGATGAAACCCAGGCTAGGGCGAGGAGTGTGAGTGTGCCACATCTGTCAGAGTGATGTGACACATTTAGATATTTAGGCATGTGGCATGTGGGCCTTCACGTGCACCCTTTCCCCAGGCCCTGCAAAGGATAAGCGTGGTCCTGCGAATGGTAGGGTTTTTCTAAAAGCAAAAACAACAACAACATTGTTTGGAGAAGTGGAACTCTATTATAAGTTTTCTTGCCTTAGAGGTCTATCCAGTGTCATGGATCTGATCTGTAAACTTTCCAAAACCTTTTCAGGTTAAGCCTTTTAATGTATCCTGTTTTCTGACTCTTAGATTGTTTTCTCTTTCGTTGCTGCCTTATGATAGCAAGAACATTCCATGAACATTGACTTTCTCCCAGAATCTAGACCCTCTCTGCAAGGGCAAAGTCATTTAGGGGAGTGGAGATTACATGGAAAGAGGTTGTGTCTAGAGTGAGGCCTTAAAACATGGCTGTTTAGAGGGGAGAATCCCAGATGCTCCAGACAAGTATCTTTTTGTCAAGAACAGTCTGGATTGGCCGTGTGTGCTGGCTCACGTCTGTAATCCCAACGCTTTGGGAGGTAGAGGTGGGCGGATCACTTGAGGTCAGGAGTTCAAGACCAGCCTGGCCAACATGGTGACACCCCGTCTCTATTAAAAATGCAAAAATAAATAAATAAATAAACTAGCCAGACATGGTGGTACATGCCTGTAATACCAGCTACTCAGGAGGCTGAGACAGGAGGATTGCTTGAACCCAGGAGGCAGAGGTCGCAGTGAGCCAAGATCATGCCACTGCAGTCCAGCCTGGGCAACAGAGCGAGACTCTGTCTCAAAAAAAAAAAAAAAGAAAGAAAGTCTGAATGGAGGTGGGCAAGAGTACTTTGTTCCTGTCCTTTGCTCTATCAACAAGCCCCAAGTAAGCTTTCATCCTGGTTTCTTTTGCTCTGTCTTCAGCATATTCAATCAACCTTCTTCCATCTTGACGGATTTCTCTCGACCTTGCTAATGCCCTAGCTACTGTCTGACTACTTTACTTCCTTTCTCTGTCAAATATCTTCCATAATTGGTCTGTGCTAGTCTGACTCCTCTCCCCTGGCTCCCTCCTTGGACCAGTCCAGCAAACTGGTTTCCATCTCCACCATGCCATCAGCCTTTCCCTCTAAAATGTCAATTCCCCCTTTCTCCTTCCTTGACCTCCCATCACTGAAAATGTTAAACAACTTCCTTTGGAAACTTTCTCCTTTCTTGGCCTATAGGATATTTGGTGTCACTTTAAGGTTTGAGTTTTCAAAAAGAGTCCCTGTAAAGGCTAATTATTTCCTTCTAAGGATCAAGTTTGCAATTAGAATAAGTGCTACCAAATGAAGCACTGTAACCACATGGGCAGAGTGGCCAGGATTTGCCTAGATAACGATGGCTTCTTAGGAGGACATTTAGTCAGTGCTTTTTCCACTTATATTTATATTATTCTATTTCTATTAAAGATGCATTTTGAAAATCCTATGAGTGCTCTTTTCCATTGAATTTTAATTTTATCTATCACAATTTAATCAAGTCTTGATTTTAAGGTGACAAAATGTTCCAATATGCACAAGACTGAGGGGTTTCTCAGGATAGGAAACGTTCTGTTCTTAAAATTGGGGTAATCCTAGGAAGCTAGTACAATTTGTTAACTGACTTGGTCTTTAAAACAAACCCTTTAACTTGCTCTCCCTTTACCCTTCAGGAGCTCAGAAAGCACAGCTTCCAGGAAATGTAACACTTTTTCAGCTGCTTTAGTTCTGATGTAGACTTTAGTTCTGATTTCATTTGCCTAGCTGTTCACTACCTTAGAAAACAGGATATTCACGAGCTGGAGGTTCCAACGGACTTTGGAGTATGAAAATTACCTGTCTAGTCTTGAAAGAAAAGTCGGCAATTGCTTAACCCTTCCACGCAAATGAGACCCAGGGCTGGGTTACAACATCTCATGAGAAAATGAACTGAGTTTTTGAAAATGAACTGAGTTTTCTCCTTGAAGTCTGGAGAAGCTGAGGATATGCTGCCTATGTCATGAAAAGGGGCAAAGGGCTTCTCACATTTCTCCTTTCTTGTAATTTTAGATCATATTTTGCTTTAAATAAATGACAGCAACAATAATGCTTCCTCCTGTGTGGCTAAAGGTAACTAAGAAAATCTCACCTGTGTGATTTTAATTAGGCCACACCCTTCTTGGCTTGTCTCTGGAGGAGATAGAAGTGGAAAAAGTCAAGGGAAAAACAGAAAGAGGAAAAGGAAGAGATATTTATTTATTTATGTATTTATTTATTTGAGACAGAGTCTCGCTCTGTTGGCCAGGCTGGAGTGCAGTGCCGTGATCTAGGTTCATTGCAATATCTGCCTCCCCGGTTCAAGCGAATCTCCTGCCTCAGCCTACCTACTAGCTGGTACTACAAGCACACACCATCAAGCCCGGCTAATTTTGGTATTTTTAGTAGAGACGGGATTTCACCATGTTGGCCAAGCTGGTCTCGAACTCCTGACTTCAAGTGATCCACCGGCCTCAGCCTCCCAACATGCTGGGGATTACAGATGTGAGCCACTGCACTCGACCAGAAAGAGATATCCCTTCGGAAGGTGTTAGGCTTAGTCCAAAGCAGGGAATTAGAAATAAAGTCTTAAAAATTGACATCAAACACTTTTGCCAAAGGAGATCTTGGTGATCATGGCCTTCTCTCCTGCCACTGGGCATCGCTCACTGAGAAATCTCAGAATAATCACCAGTCGTAACAGCTAACATCTCTTAAAAGTTTTCTATGCACCCAGGCACTGCGCTGTGTGCTTTCATGCAATATTTCATTTAATCTTCACAACAGCCCTGAATAGTAGGTTCCATTAGTCTCATTTACAGATGGAGAAAAATGAAAGCAGAACTATTGAATGGCAAAAATCACTCAAAACAAGGCAGACTGTAAAATTCATGTATTTAATCACTGTGCTAATTCTTGGGGGTTCGGGAGGGTGGAGGAGATCGGTTCTTAACTGACTGGAAGCAGACTGTG